CAATCAATCAATCAATCTAAGATACTCGAGTAGATAATGAATAACAATATCCTAACCCCATATATACTCGAGTAGTGTATCCCTATTACAGTACATATCCATCAACTCATTACCTCATTACTATTACTATTACAACCCTATTACTATCACCAATAACTCGTAACTCATTCATAGCACATAGCACATATAGCACATTACTCCCCTCACTCACTTTATCCCCTTCCCTTTCCCTCTCCACCTTCAAATCTAAAGCCGACTAATAACCACTTATTCACTCATTCATCTAATTAGCCAAGTTTCCCAAAATAAACCTACCTACCTACCTACCTACCCTTTGAATTTCACTCCCTCACTCACTAATCACTCGGTCATTTATCACAAACAAAAAAACAAACAAATACCACAAAACCCCGCAAACATAGCTCTATCATATCATATCATATAATATCGCATGTATCATATCAACTTGCTTATTTCTATTTCTACCTCCCCATCTCCAGTACCTAGTAGTTCCTCTTTCCTCTTGATTCATCTCCCGTTTCCCTTCCCCTCCTCTACATTCAATTTCATACTCCACTCCCATTCCTAACCCCCATCCTCACTCGCACCGAATAAACCTACGTCATATCTATATATCTCTCCCCCAAAGGCTCAACTTCAAGCGCTTTCTCCCCCTTCCCACCCCTCCATCCTCGATCTCTCACTCCTATCCCCAATATTATTTCCCTCCTTCATTCCCTTTGCTACAAAGAATCTTGCCACCCAACCTCCCAAGTATACGTATATAATTATCCACACCAAGTTCTATTCGAATCCTCGGCCTTTCAGCCATTCATCTACAATCTATCTGTAGTTCGAACTCTCCCTAGCCTTCTCCATCATAACTTCGTGTATAAATATACTATGACCATGTATGTCTTCTTTTCCTTTATCCCCACTCACCCCCACTATCGAAATGTACAAAAAGCGATCTAGGAAAGCTAAAGAGCTTTTCCATATCTCTGGCCCAAAGCTTAATAACAATGAATATTCCTCTCTCTCTCTCTCTCTCTACATATAAATATCCCGGCCACCGTTTGTCTAATAAAGATATTTGGAACGAAACAAAAATCTGCCACTTTTCAAGGTAACGGCTTGCCCAGCTTCATACTTTGTCCGAAATTTTGCGACACGCTTCGATTTGTCAGATAACGATGACATGTATACCCATGTACCGTTACTTTGATAGATCATGAATGATTCAAATCATATGGCCCAACTTCCTCTCCTGGCTCTCACTCCCCACCCGCTCGGTGATGAGGCACCATTTGACATGGATGGATGTTGACGAGCCCATTCTAAAATATATATTCGTAAAGCTTTCCATCGGGTACCATAACCCCCTCCACTTCTCTCGCCTTTGGTAGGTTTCCCGGTCTTCTCTTCTACATGACCATCAATGGCCACTAATCCGATATGTCCCATGATATCCTTCTTTTTGTCATCCACCCGCAGCTCATCTTCAGGAATTTGAGAGATCTTTGCAAGTTCTTGGTCGTATTGCCGAGCCAAAGATGGATATCCGAGCGAGAGGTAATTGTAAACTTGTGTGACAAAGGTATCATCGAATTCTTCCAACAACATATCTTCAGCTTTGGACCTCGCAACCTCGGTTTTCAATCTGCCGTCGAGTCCACTTAGCATCTGAAGACCACCCTTGCTTCTTTCATGCGATCTGAGAGGAGCATCCGGCACTGCGCTTGCAAATGCGGAAGAAAACGGGTCGTCCATTTCGGCATGTGGGGTTGCAATCATCTGCGGTCTTTTGACAACATCTGGGCTGAGATATTGCTCAATTGCCTCGGCAACACAGTAGCCACCCCATAATCCACCACCACCATCGACATGATGCGGCTGTATGTCATGTCGTTGATCCGATTCGAATTTTGTCGCTTTTGGCGACGGACACATGCGAAATACCAAATCACCACCAAGCATTGGGGGAGACGCTGCGTTGCGCATTCGAACCAGTTCAGCTTCCTTTTGTTTGTCCTGAGGGGTACCACTTGGCCGGGTTTTATCCGTCATTCCATTTGTCCAAAATGGATCGTGAAATGTTGGGGCTGTGGCTTCCTCAGCTACTCTCTTATTGGTCTCCTCTTCTCTCAACCGATTCAGATTCTCCTGATGTTGCCGCATTTCTTTCGCTGCCCAGCCAACCACAGTAGATTTTCTTTGGAGCTCCTGCATATGAGCATCGTCCATTAGCATGCCCACACCTTCTACGGAGTCTTCCTCCGAAGCTATATCTGTCTCCCTATCGTAAAAATGTTCCACCATTTGGTATGCCGACTCGTTGGGAAATGCAGATAACGCTTGTTCCATAAGTTGTTTCTCGGCAGCTTTGGCAGCGAGTGACAGTAGATAGCCCGAGAATCGGTCATCACAGCTCTCTCGTGTTCGGGCCATTTGCATCTTCTGAATAGAATCTTCAGAAGACCCCAATGAACCGGATAAGGATGGCGTAGACTCTCCGTCATCGTTCTCTTCGTCCAAATTCTCGTCTGAATCTTCCTCTGACTTGTCTTCTGATTCTATAGAGTCCAGTTGTGGTTGAAATGTATTCGATCGTGTGCTTTGTCTAGTATTCAGGTGAGGACGCATTGAAGCCTGTCGACGCGGGGGTAAAGGTGGTATTTGGGAGTGTATAGGTGCGGAGGATGTAGCGGAAGTATTCTCGGATGCGATGGGGACTGGTGTAGGACGTATATATTTTCGTTTCCGGTCTACGTAAATGTGATTTGTACCCTATGAAACGTTAGATACTAGCCGATGAGAAGAGGCATGGCTACAAAGCATACCGGCGTGATATCAGTCTTATCAGTGGGTAGACTAGCAGGACCGGGAGTGTTTGATCTCTTGAACCTCTTTGATGTTTCTATTAATTGGGGGGTGAACTTCTTTCTAGGGGTCGGCGGATCTGCGGTAGCTGGAGCTCGAGATTTGACTTCCGGAGTAAGCTCTGGGGTCTGCAGAGGATTGGGTGGCTTGACTTTGCTTGACTTTTGTGTGGTTTCGACGGGTTGAGGCAGGAAACGTCTTTTAGGCGGGGCAGCGGCAAACTCCTTTCTTGTGGTGGTATCTTCGACTTCCTCGACATTTTCCTTCTTATTACTTCTTGTCATAGTCTCGACAGGTTCAATTGCGAACTTTCGTACTTTCTTCACCGTCTCCTCAATCGGAGTTGATAGGAATCGAGTTCGTGGTGGGGGTGACGTAGTTGACATCTTGTTGGAGGGACTTGAGTTGTAGGAAATGATGAATCCCGATATTGTTATTACTTTGATGCATACCAGAGCAGAGGCAAATAGATGTTTAAAAAGTTGAGCTTGTGGATTAAAAACGTATGAAGAATTAGAGAGAGAAAGAGAGTGAGTAAGTAAGTAAAGTAAGTGAGTGAGTGAGTGAGTGAGTGAGTGAGTGAGTGAGTGAGTGGAGTGTGTTGTAAAGTATGTATTAGTTAGTTTTATGCCCCTAGTCCATTTGTCCAGCTTGGATGAAGTGGGGGAAATGAATTCTCGATTCGCTCGTTCTAGAAGCGAGAATCTATTTATCTATAAAGTTCAAAGAAAAGCCAGTGAGGTTTGAATATTCATGGTTTGAAGTGGAGATTCATTCTCGCTGCAAACGCGATAGATCCGGATACGGAGGATGTGTAGGATGTGTACTCAAGTACTTGGAAGTAAGATCCCCGCCATAACCCCCTTTGAAGAAAGGAGGGGAAGATCAATTTATACGAACTCGGAGTTGAATTTAATTAAAAGTTATATATTGATAATTATTCAAGGTAATATTGTATAATTCTAAGAATAAAAAGATATAAATTGAAAGGTTTAATATATAATTCCTTTACTATGAATCTAGCTATATCTAAACCCTGAACAAGTTTATACCCGAACCCGAATCCTTCCCGTCTTCCCCAAATTGGACATCCGGTTTGTGGTTCGTTTATTGTTTATGGTTTATGGTTTGTGGTTTACCTACCTATATAGGTACTGATATATCCCTCCCCATCCCCATCCTTATCAAAGTATAAATATTAGAGTATCAAATATATACCTACTCCTACTCGAGTATACTATAATAAAAACTCTCTACTCACCCCAATACAATACAACAATACAACAACAAATACCCACCCCCAAACCCCTCAAGATCTCCACCATCCACACCCAAAATGAGCACGCGACCTCTTCTTTTCTTCTTATGGCCCATTCTTTCCATTCTTTCCCACCCCTTCCCCCCTTCCCCCCTTCCATTCAGTATTTGTTCCTCGACCAGCCCAGGCCCAAGTACAGAATATAAACACCTAATCTGATTATATTGTACACCGCACAACACACATGCATTTTTATTAAAGTTCTGACCCACGTTCGTCACCAAATGCAAGCACTTCCTGCAAGCCAGCCTAAAAACTGTAGAATGTAACGTACGGTATGTCTCACATTACTTCACATTGTCAACAAGCAAGTAGGTACTCGTACATACGAGGTACTTTAGGTACAATGACAATTCATACATGGATACAGTTTGGATATTATTATTATATTGAAATGCAAAACCCTGCCCAACTTCACATGCCTATCGTGTAAAGAGATGACGGCAAGCAAATTACTCGTTGTCCTGACGCTATTCCTCTCTACCTGTGCTCCCTATTGTATCATGTCATAATAGATATAATTGAATGAATGAACGAACGAACAAATGATTGAATGCAAACATGGCACTATACATGGCCAGAATGTCTGATACAACTATACAGCTGAGTGTAGATTTGTCAAAGGGGACAGATAGGTCCAACCCATACACAAATGAGTCAAGAGACTCGAACAGAATCATAGAATCAACGAAATGAAGACGGACGAAGACCCACCAACCCCTGCAACGAGCTGATTATTTTGTCTTTCTCTGTCTGGGTAATCCTGCTGCTCTCCTCATTTCAATATCTCCTTCGGCCAACCATCGGCTAGCTTTGACCAATTGTACGACATTGATGAACTGTTTTCCAGCCATGACGGGGAAGGAGATACCAGCGATGACCCATGGCCAGAATGAGTCCATTTTATTTGCGCGCGCAAGCTCCAAGGCGCCAGCGCTGTAGGGGTTGGCAAAAAGAGAAGCTGCGGATGGGTTGGAGGGGTTTCCAGGGACAAGTGTACTGCCAGTATCACCACTGGTGGTGACTTGGAGGAGAGATGGCGAGAGAAGGGGAGAGGAGAAGGAAAGGAGGTAGAGGGCGATGAAGAAGACTTCGTTGAGTGCACAGAAGAGGAAGAGGACCGTCTATCATCCATGGTTAGTTGAGATGACAGCCATTGTATACATGGGGGTACTTACCTTGTTCGTGTAGTACAAGTTTAAAATCCAGCTTCTCGATTTATCCACTTGCTTGTGACTAGTATCTCCTCCTCCCATAACAAGGGTCGCATACATGTGAATGTAATGACTAGCCAAGTCCAAAGAGATGAGTCCTTGGAAGAGGAGAGCCCATCGAGGCCAGGCAGAAGAAAGGAAGACGAGCAAGCAAGCTGTGGTACAGCGATCTGTCACCATATCCAATACTGCACCGAATTTTGTAGATTGTTCAAAGGCCCGGGCGGCATATCCATCAAGAGCATCGAGAAGACAGGAGACACTGTATAGAAGGGTACAGGTGCGCGGGTGAAGGGGCATGTAATAGAGGGATACTAATGCGAGAACGATTCGAAAGTATCCTGTAAAGTATTAGAATGCACCAGACTAATCGCACACATTTGATCAAGCCTACCGATGACATTGGGCCAGAAGAGAAATATGTTCTCTTTAGGATAATCCTCATCCTCGGAAGTGTGTGCTGAACCATTACCATTCATGATGGCTTGTTCTCGAGCTGCCGGCGTTGGAGTCGAAGGTGTAGATGCCGCAGCAGTTTGTCGTCTCGTTTTCACACTAGACATTGTTTCTATTTATCGAAAAGCTTCCCTCTCAATTGTATTATGCTGAATGATGGTGTCGTGTGATCAGCAGGTTGTATGAATCGACTCGAGAAAATAACTGATGTGTTAAGTTTGAGGAGCTGTTTCGCAGTAAAAATTGTTAACTGTTAAGCTTGCTTGTGGAGTTTATTGAATGGATGGATGGTGATGCGATAGAAGTTCCTGTTGAAAGTTTAGAAATACAATACAATGTGGAAAAGTAAGAAGCTTGTTTAAGTAATTACTACTTACTGTATGTTTTTGAAAGGAATGTTATTAGAAAGTAAGAAGGAAATTCCTTATCGCGGTTGTATATTGTATGTTACCTACTCTCAGTATGCAAGCAGCAAAAAAAGAGGACAGGGCATCAAAAACGTATGCAATAGCACCAATATTAAAATAGATAACATGGATTAATGACGGGATCAGAAATGAGAAACCCCTTATGCTCGGAAGTATCGGGACTTTAATAAAATAATTATATATTATATTACTCAAAACCCATCTCGAACATTGAGATATTGGCAACGAGGCAGCTTCATCTCATCCATCTCCACAGCAGTACCGAGAGCAGTTACCGAGAAGTACTAACCTTTCATCTAATATCTAATATCAATAACCAACAATAATCATCAATCAAACAAATCAACAACCACATCTCGACATATCACACACATTATAACTTCCAAAATGTTAATTCAAGAAACCCACATAGATATTTCAACGAAAGCGGGGGGTAAAGAAGGATCAATGAGTACAATTTTAACATTCCCATCTTCAACACGAATCTAGCTAATTCTCTCTAGGAATCTTTCTTTTCCATCCTACTATTCCAAACTACCCTCAAGCGTGTGTAGTACAATATATCCTAAGAGTTATATCTAATAAGATTCAAAGCTGAAGTCTTTTATCACAGACGATTTCCAGGTGTTGTCCTTTTCAGTGAAATATATCAAGGTCAGTTGGGGGTTTGGTGGGGTTATTCAACAACAATATCCTCTATCAGCATTTCTTCATATCTGTCATATCATTGGTTTCGATCAAGTCTTTGCAAATCCTTATCATGTCGCCGGTAGACTGAAATGACAACTCATCATTTGGAGTCCCATGGGGCACATTTCAAGCAGAGATCCAGACACCCCATGTCCCCGAATCTCCCCTTTTTCCTTATCTTTTAACCCCGCATACTCACGTGCTACATATAAATATACAAGCTGACAACTATTCGTCAAAGTCACTGGACCGGTCGCTAGATTTGCAAGGCAAATCGCTGGACAAGGTTATATTGTTGCGGCACCTTCATCATACCATGAATTCACGGGTCCAGAAGCTCTAGCTTATGATGTTCCCGGAACCGATGCTGGCAATGAATACAAGATCACTAAGGTATGCATGTTCCATCCCACATCAAATATCAAGACCACAATTTGAAGCCTCTCTATACATGAGGCCAGTCAGTGTCTCGTACATCTATATCTAAACGTTAAAACCCATAGACCCTCGAAGCCTACGATGAAGACTCCACCCTCTCAATCGATCACCTCCTCTCCCTCCCCACCTGCAACGGCCGCATCGGCACAACAGGCATGTGTCTCGGCGGGCACCTCGCCTACCGCTGTGCCCTAGACCCCCGCGTCTCCGCCGCCGTAACATATTTTGCTACCGATCTGCACAGCGCCTCTCTCGGTCTCGGCAAGAACGACGACAGTCTAGCCCGCGCCTCCGAAATCAAAGGCGAACTCGCCATGATTCACGGCTGCAAGGACAATCATGTGCCTCCCGAGGGAAGAGATCTCATTAGAAAAACTTTGAGGGAGAAGGGTATTGTGTTTAGTTGGTATGAGGTTGCCTGGGCACAGCGTACGTTCTATCTTCACCATCAATACGTGACGTTACGCGCGCTCAATACATATATGCTAACATACAAACAAAAGATGCATTTATCCGCGACGAGCTCTCAAAAGGCCGCTACGACCCCGCCATTTCCAAAATTTGTTTCGAGATCCTCCTGGAACTATTCGGTCGATCCCTCAAATTAGATCTCGGACCCCACGATGGCCAGGAACAGAAAATCGAAGATATCTGTTAAATGTTAAATGTTAAATGTTGAATGTTGGATATACTCAAATTTATGGTAGATCATCGAAGAAATGAAAAAATGCGATCACAATAATTTAGTCTGCGAAAATATACTCTTCCTGCATACCTGTGATTCCGACCCCTATTTACATGCAATTCACCGTGTCACATGTTTCGACGAATACACCTTAGACTAAGCTGCATGCCTTAAACTTCTCCTCCTCAATCTACCGTTCATACTTTATTTCTGTTACTCTACCAACATTAAAAGAAATCGAAATCAACTATCCAAGTACGGTACTAGACAGACACTACATACATAAAAGTTCCCAACTAAAATTAACCTCACCCGTAACAAAACCACCTCGCTTAAACCGTACAGTATCGTATCACCTTAACCTTCAAGGCTTCACCTCAACATGACGCCACGCCACGCAATTAGTCAACCACCCAATACAGTCAAGTCAGTCAGTAACCCAGGTATAGGTATGAGTATACTCAGTACATATACACGCACAATAGATCAATCAAGAGTAGAGTAGGGTAGAGCAAACAACATCTATCAACGAGTATACACCTCTATTAAATGGGTAAACCACTACCTGCCTACCTACCTATTTATGCAACCATTATATGTATATATAAGCCCACCGCTAGCTGACATGCACCCCAACCTCTCACTTTCCCTATATCTCCCAATATCCCCATCCCCATCCCCCTCCCCTCCCCTTCCTTCCCCCCTTCTCCCTTCTAAAAAGCTAATTCGCGCTCTGTAATCCAATCCAATCCAATTTAAACCCATCCATCCAGCCATATATTAGGAACTAATACAACCCAATAAACAGTACAAAGATACTCCTTCAATGCAATGCTATTTATATTCATCCACGCTATGCTATGCACCCACTCACCCCGACTCAAGAGTCGAGGTTTAAAAAAAAAAAGATCGGTAAATGAAAATAAAAAGGTATATCTCGCAACTCTCTGCTAACCCTAGGTATCCTAGATCTCTCCCAAGTCAAATTCAAACAATGCGAAACGCCTACTGTAAATGCTTGCTTGCTTCCATGTGTATCTATCTATAAGTCCATCCTTTCCTAGGTATTTGTATCCTTCCTTGCTTGCTTGCTTTCCCGGAAACCTAAAATATCACATAAAGAGAAAAGAGAAACGAGAACAAAGAAAATCCACGTTTTAGATGATAGAGAAAATCTAGTGCATCACACTCTGTCTCCATCGCTCGACCATATCAAGTTGCCCCTGATTAAGCGGTTCGCCCCCAGGTCCTGTGGGTAAGCCCGTGACGGGATTTGTATGGATATTCTGCATCTGCATTTGCATTGGCATCATGTGGTTATAGCCACCCACTGGCATCGTGTTCTGATATCCCATGTTTGGGTAAGCATTTCCATATTGCATCATCGTAGGGTTATTGAAACCGTTGTAGTTCATGGAGGTGGGTTGAGCGAATTGTGGGTATCCGCTATTGGGAAGTGCGCTGTTATGAAGGTTATAGTTTGAGGTTTGCGGTGGTCTTATCATGCCCGGTTGTCCTTGGGAGTGGGGGTCATTGTGCGTGCCACTACTAGCACGATTTCCATGACTGGCACGAGGAGCCGAATTTTGTTGAGTGACGAGATTGGTCATTGTACTGGCCCTTCGCTGGGTTTGCTTTTCGTGCAAGCCAAGGAGACCAGTGACTGGTCGAGAAGACTTGGTTAAAGGAGCATTTCGACTTGCGCCGGCAGCTGGATGAGAGGAGAGAATGTCGGCCATACTATTCATTTTGTTGATGACCAAAGGTTCTGGGACTGCTTCTGCTTCTACTTCTGCTTCTCCAGCAGTGCCAACTTCTTTTTCGCGAGCTTCACGCTCTGCGTGTAGACGTTTGCGTCTCTGGCCTAGGGTTTCCTCTTCTTCATTGACTGGGGTTGTCGAAACTTCCTTTTCCTTACCCTTGCCATCATCATTCATGAGATCTCCACCGAATTGGCTCATCATCTCGGATGCAAAATCGCCGCTGACAGGTCTAGTAGCAGGAAGGCCAGTCGCTGTGCCACCCTGTTCTTTCAGACGTCGAATGCGTTGTGCGAGTGTCTCCCCTTCTTCTTCCTCTACAACGGGGCTGCCTGTAGGAATATGCATCATGGTTGTGGCTCGAGGCATCGGCATAGGTTGGCCCGTTAACCTGGCTCTACGTCGACTGAGTGGCTCATTGTCTTCTAAATCACGCCTCTCCATCAAACCTAGCGGCCTGTGCATTTCCTGGGCCTGAGATCTCGTCACATCTAACATCGCCAAGGGAACGTCCTCGTCATCTTCAGCTTCAGGATCATCGTTATTCCCAATTTGCCAAGCTAGGTTGACCTGCTTTTGCTTTCTAGATTTCTGTTGCCTCTCTAGCACGGTATCCATTTCGAGTAATGTAGATTGCATTCCATTAACGCTTACTGGGGGTCTAGTTCGAATCTTCTGTTGCTGCTTGCGCAATTGTAATTCGGCAAGAAGTGTGGTTGGTGGGCCGTGATAAACTTCATCATCCCGTTGACCCTCGTCCTCTTCGCTTTCTACTTCACCTTCCTCAGCTCGGATGAGATCAGTAGCGCCACTGACTGCACGTGAATGTCGCAAGGGTGTTGTGTCTTGTTTATGGATGTCATCTTCGTCGTCTTCGATAGGAGACCTTGTCGCCTTTCTTTCCACCTGAATATTGGACATTGTAGAGGCTCGATTTTCGTTGTCTCCAAGTAAAGCGCTACTATTCGCCCGACGACCTAACAGAAAGTTGAAAGAGCTTGTCCGCTTCTTTGCATTATCTTGCTTATCTTGCTTGACCGGCGTCAGTAGCTGGGTGTTACTCTTAGTACGTTGGTGCGGTTTCCCGTACACTTCGGAGCCAAGATGACCAGCAATTGCATGGTCTACAAATGCCGTAACAGGAGCATGCGCAGATGCATCGAGAATACTATCTAGCGTAGCAACAGCCGATTGTTCTTTTAATTCCACAACCCCGCTTTGACCTTGTGGCAGTTCAAAAAATACGTTTGCTCTCAGGTGGGCTGGCATATGCTCCAGATCCTGTGTGTTTCTCCGGCCACCCATACTCATTCTCTGGTGCTGAGGAATATATTCTAAGTTTTGGGCATCGTCGTTTTCAGGTAGAGGTCCGCCGTTCGTTTCTAAAACATCTGGTAACCAGACAGCTGATTGCCGAGCTGCAGCTGGAATGTTGCTGAGGACTTCAGACCTTCTTTTGTTTCTTGCCATAGAGGATGGATTCTTCGAGAGTTTCTGGGGTAAATTGAGCATCATGGGAACTCGCGCCGGGTAATAAACCATCTGCTGGCCAGTACTTGGATCAGCATATGATTGCGGCCTAATCATCGACTGCCGATTCTCAGATGCCATTTTTCTCTGATCATTATCGTTTACTAAAAGTTGTGTACCAGATGAAAATCTCCTCTGATCTTGATATATTCCTGAATCAGCCGTCCTAGATGCAGTCCTCCTGTGGTCTCCCATAATTAAGTCGTGGTCGAATGAGGTTCTCAGAGGTGCAGAATGAACTCCATCAAAGTCTGCAAACATTCGCTCATGGTCATATGTGTTGGTTGATGCTGAAGTTTGAGGTCGAGACTCGTCGGCCTGGTCTGGTATGTGCTCTGGCTTATTTTCTGTGTCGAGTTTGTCGACTGCCGGTCGTGTCAAGGTCGCGGAACGCTCATCTTGCTCTACAATTGAAGGTGTTCGGTGATCAACAAGGGATGGAAACGAGATATTAACAAATGAATCCAGCGGTCTTCCCTCCATCTCTGGTTCTGGTCGATTCCCAAATCTCGAGCTTTTTGACGCAGATCTTCCTCGTGTAGTAATAGAAAACGAGCCCTTCGGAGACATCATATACCCTGCCGGCGAATACCCTCCCGATCTAGCTGCATTATTCAACTCGATGATGGAACCGGGATTGGAAACTTCTCTCGAAACATGCGGCATCTCGTTAAGCTGGGACAGAATTGATGATCGACGGCTATCAGAGCGCTTCTGCTCCATATGGAGTTCCCGAATTGCATCATCGATGGAGGTGGTCATACTCAAGCGTTCTGCTGTCCTTTCCAATTTATCGATATTCCCTATATATGCTCCTTGCAGCGTTTGTAAATCAGGTGTGGGATGTCGTAATGAAATGCTGTGACCAGATGCTGTACGAACAATCGGCACACGTTCTTTTAACAATATCGCACGAGGTGATATAGGGGAAGTCGTATTGTTGGACAACACTGTGGTTGTATTCTGTCGGGGACGGGGCCGTGGAATGCTCAAGACTAGGGGTTGCTCCGGTGGAGATCCGTCTCGCGATGTGACGTTCTTCCTTTCTGGTGATAGCGCCAGTGAGGGGGGTTTCTGCTCTCGCTCGTGCTCGTCGTATTCGTCGTCTTCTAGAATATCATAACTACCACTCGACTTCGTGCTTTTCGAGGTAATCGATTTAACCATTTGGCTTAGACTGTTTGGATTTTCTGGAGAATACGTTTGGCTGTGGCTCGTATCGCTATTTTGCGCATCTAAAAATAGATGATTTAATGGAGAAAGGCGTTGGAATGGAGAATTTGAAGAGGTAGAATCCAGGTCATGATCACCATCGTGATGTTTATCATGATCAGTTTGATCAATAGCATTATAAGCCATATTAGGCATAAAATGTCTTCTTTCTGAAGTTGTTGATAGTTGAAGGAGGAGAGAAGAGTGAGTTGACAAGCAGCAAGACAAGACACTAGAAACCAAGTAAATAATGTATAAGGAAAAGCTAAGTCCAATTTCACCCACCGCTACCAAGAATGAGTTGGAGGTTGGGTTATGTTATTCTTATTTGTTTCCTTGATTGCCCTTAGGTATACAAGCCGTGAATCTATTTATCGTGACGTTCCGTTAATCCTCATGGGAATTTATTTCGAGCGTGGGAATCCCAGTAAACCAAAAACCAGAAGAAGAAAATATGTAGATCTACGAATTTCACGGATTTCACGGATTGGCTGTAGCAATAAAATTACATACAACATAGAAAAGAAAATTCTAATCAGTATCATTGACCGTTGTTGGTCCGATTATGAAAAAGTTTTCGTACAGAAGTATGTAGACGGATGGGTTGCAATGTATACATTGATGTATCATTGTTCTAGTGTATCTCGAACATCACTTATTATATTTATTCAAGGAGAGTTTATAATGCTTCCATTGCTTCCATTACCCCAAAGCTTCATTCACCCTATAGATGTGAATATACGAGTATGATGATAACCATGGATCATCCCATGAAATTCATCTGAAGCTCGAATATGGAAAGGGGGATAGGATCGATTCCGAGACAAAACCCAAACGGTACTTACAACATCAGCACAAAACCTTGGAAGCTTATCTACCATGCCAAGAGGGTCGACAGGAACAGTACATATCTATCTGTGGCCCCAAACCTATTCCTGGACGCCATCTCAGCTTCCCTCCAACAGGATACGTAGAAACCTTAATATCAATAGATGCAGGAAATTGGTCTATCGGATGGGTCTCGAACACAGCATTGGAAGGAAATTAGGAGACGAAAAGGCTAGAAAGTTTTAGAGGACTAGAACGCGTATATACACGACAGCTTAAAGAGGCTGATGATATGTTTTTAGGTAACAAAGATCTACTCGAGTAGTTCTCGAATGTAATCTGTTCATGTAAGTCGCATAAAAGTATCTGAAATAGCAAGAGTATTATTATCCATAATTTGAGACCTTGGAATATGTATGGTTTCGTGCAGACCTCAAAGCCGATTATGAGATAGGAGAGTAGTCACATTGTCTTATTATGTTTATGTACGTTATGGACGGACTATCACGTGTAAGTAAGCCAGACTTAGTACAATTGAGGCTCTTTGACAATGTGGTTTCTATTCCAGATCTATTGTCTAATGGGTATGATGTCAAGGAGACTACATCGGCTTCCATATTGTGATGAAGTTGAGAGCAAGACTTGAGCAAACGTACCCATTGCCCAAGAGATACATACATCTCCCAGGTGTGTTATCATAAGGATGAGAGGGAAGCAAATCTGTACCAGTAAGAATATACATAAAAGAGTTCCCTGCTGAGCAATATTGACAAAGCAAAGATTCGGAATGGAAGAGTCTCTAAACCACCATTATGCTTTTTAATCTGTGATGTACAGACATAGCTCTAGGAGTACAAAAGAATTGTATCAGGATATGTGCAAATGCACCTCAATCTCACCATCCGTAGCTTCTCATGCCACGGTCGAGAAAGAATGCCACGCCCTTTCCATGCACTTCACCTAGATTCCCCTTCACGTCTTACACAGCTCCATTATCACACCTCGCTCAGTGATGAGCTCCGGTATCACCTCTGTACCCAATCAACTTCATTCTACCGATCATCTCACCAATTGTGAAGAATCCCAATACCTCGGCGAATACAACACCACCTGAAACCAATTGGGTTGTGGTGATACTTCGGATCTGTTCAAGCAGATTGGTAGGTGTTGCTGTGCTAGAGTTTGCCGCGGAACTGAAAGCAGACTGAGGGTTTCCGGATTGAATACCTTTAACGACTCTTTGGAAGTATGATTGGAACGTTGAGGCTGGTCTGCAAGCCAAAAGTCAGCATGACGTATCATAGAAGCACTTCGTTATTCGACTTACGGAAGGGACATCTTTTGGCCTTGGATAACTAATTTGGAAAGCTCTAATCCTACACGAGCATAATAGACGGTTGGTGGGATTTGTCCTATACGTACAAAATTAGCCATTGAGTTCCTAAAACCACAGAAAATACATGTTTGAACACAGATGCAGATATGACTTACGCTCAATGAAGGCAATCAATCTTCCGGTCCTTCCTCCAACTTTCCCTAGGGCATTTCCAATGGTTTTGGCAGCACCCGCAATAGCAGGTCCTGCGGTCGAAGAGACACGAGAAAGACCCTCGCTAGCTTTCGACTGAAATTCTGATGCTTTCTCTGATACTTTTGAGGCGGTATCCTTTGCTGCTTCGCTGGCCTTAGTGGAGGTAGATTCAAATCTTCGTGCCGCTCGTCCAGGAAGCTTCGCAGAATGCCGCAGCACGGTGCGGGAGATATGTAATGACATTATGGAATCTATGCACCGATCAACAGAAAGGAAAGGACTCTCGCGTTACTCGAGGTGTCGATTATCGAGTAATTCGTGGTGGTGGAGTGCGATCGCGAGAGAAATGCTGTTGACTTTTTTGCCGACGCCGGGAAGCTTAGGAACAGACTTCCGTGTGTGTGGAAATCGTAGATTAGTAAGCAAAATTAAACCTGTTACAGTTAATGCAGAAGTTTACATCTTGAATCAGTCTTCACATTTCACTACAATTGAATGAAGTATCTACACAATTATACCGCTATGAAGTTTCATTAATATTCATCGCTATCTACCTATTCATCATTCTTGATTTGAACCTTTATAGCTCCAGTCTTTGGATTTGCTGCTGTCTCGAAGGCTTTGATCGCATCTTCCAGTGGAAAACGGTGGGTTACAAGCTTCTTCATATCGATGATACCACTCTCGACTAGTCGAATAGCTCTTGGCCATGTATTACAGTATCGGTACTGAAATTGTAGGTCCACCTCGCGGGTGCTCAATCTCATAAATGGCAGCGTCATCTCATCTTTGCCAACACCGACCACAAATACTTTTCCGCCAAACTTGACTGCCCAGCAAGCGGCAGCGACACTGCTTTCAACTCCGGTACACTCCATAGCGACTGCTGGTTCAATGCCCCCAAAGGATTTTACAATGGCTTTGGCTCCCTCCTCGGCGGATAATCTCTCGACTTTATGTGTGACGACAAAAGGAACCAGCTCCTTGGCGAAAGCAAGTCTTCCATCGTCGATATCAGTAATAACAATGGGGCAAGCTCCGGCTGCTCGAGCACAAATGAGAGTAATGAGACCAATAGGACCAGCTCCGCATATGAGGACAGGGTCTCCCAACTTAACATTGGCTCTTTCTAGGCCAGCCAATGCGACGCTCAGAGGTTCTAGCATCGCTCCATCTTCGAATGACATATTGCCAATCTTATAACACCAAGTAGCTGGGTGGTTTACATATCTGCGAAGAAGGCCCGGGACTGGTGGTGTTGACAAAAACAAGACCTTTTCACATCCGTTGTATCTACCAGTAAGACATCGCTCGCATTCACCGCATATTATATTTGGCTCAACAGCGACCCGATCACCGACTTTCAGACTGTCAACCGATGGGTGAACTGCCAGTATAACGCCAGCCGATTCATGTCCAAGTATGTGTGTATCTTCAACGATCATTGGGCCGATGCATCCAGCATGCCAGAAATGTACATCCGACCTGCGATAACCGTCAGAATGATTATATGCCAAAGAATGCATTGAAACTCACCCGCAGATACCGATACTTCTAATACCAACTGTAACCTCTCCCGGCTTCAACGAATCTCCATTTCCAATGCTTTCCAAAGAGGGTTCTGCTTCTGCGATCCACAGTTCATGGGCTGGGTTAGTGTAAACACCAATATTTGACTTGGTAGGCTTTGCCATTGTGGCTTCCGCGATGTCTGTTGCTGAAGGGCTCATTGTCACTGTCTTTCGTGTTTGAGAAGCTCTCTTCGTGAAGAATAGATGAAGTTAAAGTATTTAGGATTCAGCTGTGGTAGAGTCTTAGTCTTAGATACGGTGCTTGTCAACTGACCAACGGATCCGATAGCGTGAAGAATTATCCGCGGTCACCCACCCTTTCCAATGAAATGAGGGAGTTTAAAGGGAGTCCAACAGAAGTTATCCACGAATTATACGTGTTTAACTGGTCAAACCAATTCCAGATGCTCATACACTGTCAAATCCCGGCCAAAAAATAGTGGCGGGGCAAGTAAGGTATCGGCGGAAGAGAGCCCGACCAAGAGAAGACATTGGATGTCCATGCGCTCCAATCATGTATCGCCTACTCTATCATCTCTCTCTCTCTCTGTTTATAAATAAAGTGTGTGTTCCAATCACTCTCGTGAAAATCAGCTAATCAACGAAGCGGGTTCCTCGTGGGGTTTAAAGTAGGTAGGTAATGTTTTCCCCTTCATGTCTTGCGGATGTTTTGGTTCCGACCTCGGATAAGGTTACTCAGGGGAGGGGGACAGACGGGTCACAGACCTCACTAACTTCTCACTTCCTCTCGGTTTGAGGCTTACACTACCTACCTAGTAGGTAAGTCTCTGCCTACGACTCAATTGTATATTGTACGAGAACTTTAATACTGTCATCACACCCACTTTACTTTATACCCCGCACTGATTCATCTTTCAACAATTGAGGACTATTCTTCCATCATGCCTCCTGTTCCTCGATCACCCATCAAATTGGCTATTCTTGACGATTATCAGGGAATTGCCTCCAAACATTTCGAGTCGCTCAAGTCTACTTTTGAAATCACCACTTTTCCAGATACTCTCTTACCTTACAATGACCCTTCGACCCCTGAAGATGTAAAGAACCAGCTGGTCGAAAGGCTTAAGCCTTTTGAGATCATCTCATCTATGAGGGAACGGACTCCTTTTCCCGAACCCCTTCTAGAAAAGCTTCCAAACCTGAAACTCCTCCTTAATACAGCGAGCAGAAACAAGTGTATCGATATGGAAGCCGCTAAGAGACTCGGTATCAGTGTCACTGGTGCTTCGGGAAGATCAAAGAGAGGGCCAGATAGCACCACGCAACACGCCGTTGCACTGATTCTGGGAATTGCGAGGAATGTCGCCTGGGATGACAAAGTAGTCAAGGAAGGCGGCTGGCAAACAACGTTAGCAACTGGGTTAAGTGGAAAGACGTTTGGGACTGTGGGATTAGGAAGGTTGGGTACAAATGTAGCCAAGATCATGTATTCGGCGTTCGGCATGAAGATCATAGCATGGAGCTCAAGTTTGACACAAGAAACTGCAGACCAACAGGCTAGGGACAGTGGGTTCGCTACTGAGGACGAGGATGACGAGAAAGTATTCAAGGTTGTGAGTAAGGAAGAGTTGTTCTCAGAGGCTGATGTCGTCAGCGTGCACTTGGTATTAGGTGATCGTTCGAGAGGGATAATTGGCGAAAAGGATTTGGATCTGATGAAGAAGAGCGCTTTGTTTATTAATACGTCGCGCGGACCTCTTGTTCAACAGTATGCATTATTGGATGCTTTGCAAAAGGGAAAGATCCGTGGTGCGGCGCTGGATGTGTTTGATTTAGAACCTTTGCTAGAAGATAGTTTGTGGAGAAGTATAAAATGGGGAGAGGAGGGAAGAAGTCAAGTGTTGTTAAGTCCACATATGGGTTATGTTGAAGAAGATACAATGAACGATTGGTATCAGGTACAGGCTGAGAATGTCCAAAGATGGCATGAGGGGAAAGATTTGACGAACGTACTGGCATAGCTAGTGATTAATCCTGTAGTCTTATACTGTACACAACGTCGTTGCCTCGAAGTCGCTAGTGCGATAAGGTGGTGATTTGGTGGTCTCGGAGTAGTGTATTGCGTATGTTGGAATATTACAATGGTGTGTGATTTAAATCACTTGTCCTTACTCGAGCACATGTCATCTTGTATTTATTGTCCTTAACGCTAGCTTATTAATTACATCGTAAAGTGTTCTTCCCGTCTCAGCGCCTCAACTGTTAAATGTTCCTCATAATAGTTGTCATATTTAGTACAGTATACTGGAGTAGTCTTCGACATGTTATTCACAGAAGCAAGACTTGTCATGAATCCGATAAAACCCTCCAGTTAAAGACCAAAAGCTCAATATTGTCCAGAATTGATAGGTCGACTTCCCGTACCTGTAAAAGAAATTCGGAGCAGGCAGATTCTTGGTGACTGTTTAAGACATTATAGCTCGCTCATTAAGTCTGCTTGCCTTTTGGCATCCAATGAGGTAGCCACGGGGTAAGCGTAGCGCTCTGGGTATCGGCACTACCTTGTTGGGCTTAACTTGGACTAGAAGGGCCTTGCGAAGCTGATCCACGTCCTCTACTACCAGGTTTTCCTTTGGAAGGTTTATCGAATCTTTCCTTTCCTTGTCCTCGGCTTAGACTATTGTCTATATTGCTTTGCTGCTGTCCAGAAGCCTTTTGCCACGAATACTGGGACTTTGATGGAAGGTTGACTTGCGGTTCAGTCTGAATTACCCGAGGGGTCTGCGTAGTCTCCTTCACCGGAAATGGTTTCCATCCACGCCGGCATACCGGGCAGCTTTAACGAGACTGCTGTGCTGAGGAGCCTTGGTCTCAGATTTGGCGTTACATCTCTCGTAAAATTCCCAAGTACATCTCGAGCCACGATAATTGCTTCTCCGTTTGCTATCGATCCCGACACTTTGAACATGGTGTCGAAGAAATGGTATGGTCGCTGTCCAATCAATTCTCTGTTTTCTATGACGTGTCTCAGCAGTCCAGAATTGTGTATGCCTAAAAGCTAGATTGAGAAATTCAGGCGTATTGCCTGCTGTTGCTCGATCAATGTTACATAGCTGATGGAGTGACTTGTTGGTTTGCCACTTGCAAAGTTGACGGAAAAAGTGATATGGCGTGCCATCAAATCGAGATTCAGTGAGGAGGTTCTTGACATATGGTAAAACACCCAGTTTTCCGAATTCCAAGGCTGCTTCGACAAGACTCATCGCATTTCCTTCGTTATGAGCCTCGAAATCTAACAGTCTCTCAGCGACATCGTTTTTATTCCAGCGTAAGAAGCATTGCAACAGTGGTACGGGCTCTCCATTGGTTTCAGCGATTACTGCATCTATAAGAGGCAGTAGCTTTGTGCTCTCTAAGTCCAATAATCTTTTGATGAATTCCGGAGTTCTGTTCCCGACGAAAACCGAAAGAGTCAACACGGTATTGAGCATTCCGTTTTTGTGCCATTGTAGGAAATGTTGAAGATGTGTTTCCGCCTTGTCCCCCAGCTCCTTGACAACAGTGCTGAATGTAGGCAATAGCCCGCTTTCACTCATGTCCAGAATATGTGCAAGCCTACATTCAGGAGAGATATTGTTCACTTGACCACGAGTCGAAAGACTTTTGATGATCTCTGGACTGTATCTTTGCAAGATGAACTCTAAGAGGCTGATACCCTTCAAGGGAGATTCTGTACTCAATTCATGCAGTTTGGTGACAAAAGAATCACCAGTTGCGGATAGAACAGCCGAAATAAAACGCAACCTCGCATGGTCATTGCGATATTTGTCGTAAAGCTCAGAAAAATTATCGAGCCATCGAGCCAGCTCTGTATCGTTCGCGTGACGTGGTAGAATTTCGAATGGGGCTCTCCTATGCGCATGTGCAGGCGCAGATGTATCAAATCCGTATGCTGATTTGGCGACTGATTCTTTCAGTGTCGCTTTCTCTTGGTAGGAAACGGAATTTCTTTCACTCAGGGCAGCGAGACGATGGCCCTAATTATTAGATCTGTCAGTAGGAGAGATTTTACATGGTACTGCGATTGACATACTTTATCTTCTGCATCAGACACTATGGTCATCCCTATGGCTGCCACCTGCGGAAGGCGACAAACGTCGAGAGCTTGTCGATATTCAGGTGTCGCAATGCTCGACCTAGGTACTGCTTTGGTCTCCAGACGAGCCTGGAATTTAGCGATTGCCACGCCTTCCAAATAAATCACGACCTTCTTGACTTCTGAACTAGGACTACTTTCGTAGATACTTTCGGCCAATTCTGCGATGAGATCTGTGAGGGTATTTTCTGCATCACGGTCTTTCCAGTGAAATGACGGAGGATCGTTGTGCTATACATGAACGATTAGAAAAAAGGTACTCTAGAGTCTGAAGCAATTAAGGATTCTTACTTGTATCCATCTCAACGCTTGTTTTGCCACGTCCTGCTTTGCTTCAAGCCTGGTCTTGGCCTTAGCCTTTGGTATGAAGTCTGGGCTCTTGCTAAAAAGATAAGATCCAGATAGAGTTAGAATCGTTTCATGGTCTTTAGAGGTGTAAGTAGGAATTTTGCATCTCAGTTTTCGGCAGTAGGCATGCAACTCCCCAACCGCGTCCCTGGGTTTTTTCTCAGGCTTTAACTTCTTTTTCTTGGAGCGACATGATTCACAATTGTTGTTGTTACTCGCAGCCATGACAGCAGATATCCTCGTGGGTTTTCAGACTTGCAAATAAGGTTATGTAGAGAGAGGATCGTTGAGTTGAGCGGTCGAAAAATTCGGGGTTTGTTGAGATCGCTTGTGATAAAAGAAATTGACTGCGTGTATTCACTGTGCAGTTTCCGAGCTTTCCGCGCTTTACTTAGATGTGGATATAGACTTGATCAGGAGAATCGAAGTGGAAGTTAACCATACAAAGGTGTTGGAACACGTGCATCAATCCCAATTGGCCGGAAAGCGGGGTAGGATCTCTCCTATAGTTAGCATCTCCCATTTCGCATTAAGTGAAAGGTGAAGTCTGTTCAACAAAAGGTTAAAAAGCGACTTTTATACAATGATAAGATGTGTTTATGCTTTGTATTCATGAAAAATAATATATCAAATACAATGGCTGATCACATAAAAAGGACTGCGTCGACATTAGATAATGTTCACAAATTCTTGAATTTTTCCTGTGTGTAACATAGACTTCTTATATTTTTTTGGTATTGGAGATACTCAAATCATCTTGCATTTTCTCGAGGAGGGTAAAGAGTGACTGGGAAGGGAAACAAAAAAGCAAAAAAAAAAAGATTATAGAAGCACCGCCCGAACCAACGGGCGTATCTATATAGCTTGAACTCTCTACACGAGGCGGGACTGTTAAACAGCCAAACGAGGTACGTAGAGCGGTCGCACCAACATTAGTGATGGACGAAGCAATGATACCAGACCACTGCGCCATGCTACTTCTTTTTATTTAGTATAGCTTTACTTTGATATTAGTAGTACCGACAAGCGAGCTTGCGTGAATGTTTGCATTGTTTGTATGCATTAAAAGTCTGTCCATGCGCCACCTTTTGCGACTTTGCGATCAAACAGATACAAAAACATGTGAGACTGACTTTCAATAAGCAGTAGTAGCTATCAAGTACTGGTATAAGATTATCTATAGATTGATTATCCCCGATGGTGAGTGCCGACGTTATTCTCTCCCGTCGGTCGATTATTATATTGCCCCATATTTAATCATTTCACAATTCAGCTGATTTAGTTGACAATATCCGAGAGATCGCTAGAGAGATGGGTACTGGAGATGTAGACGACGACTTTCAATTAAAGAGAGGCAGGCACAAAAGCCGGTTCTCATGTTTAGTTCGGATTTGGAGCAGAGGTTGACCTCCCTTTACCGTAAGTAGCCTGATAGAGAAATTTTAAAGATCCTACACCCAGATGGCGATGCTTATTCTTCTTCTAGCATGATCAGATTGGGAAAATTTTGGAGGCTGCTATGTGGTACCGGGATCTGTATTCCACGTCTAGGGCTTCAATTTATTATCACATAGTGATCGATTTGGCACAACTTTGCGAAACTGAGATTCCCTGGGTATGTTACACATATCTCATGATGTGGTTGACCTTGCTTTGGGTCAGGGAAATCCATGCTCAGGCGTGAATCATCGGTACATACATTTCCAATACGGTCTTGATATGGAATCATATCCCACGAAACTGCTCCATACTAAGTGTTGCTAGCCGTACCTCTTTCCACGTTACTGATATTGTACGGCTAGACAGGAGATAAAGCAAGGACCCAATTTTGTAAGTTTGGAAATCATCTCCGTTAACCATTTAAAAGCTTCGAGATACCATCATTCATCAACCACACTCTCCATCAACCATTTGACGAAGTCTAAAAGTCACATCCGTCAACCAACCTACCTATTCCACTATCTGATCACTTGTCACCTACAAATCATCTAAGCTATCAAAAAAAGTGCGAAGATGATGGACCCAAGGAAATACGATGAGCTCCTCGCGCAAGAAGACCACTATTGCGAATTATATGATTTCAAAATAAGGCTCAGGCTCACTACTACCTGTGACAACAAGTATTATTGCAGTGATGCAAAGTTACACCACGCTGTTATGACCATCACTGGGGGGGGCTATACTGTCAGAGATAACTCCGTCTTAAGAAGTGATGAAGATGGCGTTTTCTACACACAAATCGGTGCGATGGTCAATGTCCGTCAAAAGCTCGTTGCCTTTTTCAAGGTAAGCTACCCTCGCCTGCAGCCTGGAGTGATATGTGACATGCAACCTGTACTGACATTAGCATGTGTGTAGGAAATGGAAGATAAGGGCTACATGTCATACGAAAATGAATGTAGATATATTTCAGGCGAAGATCTAGAGGATGTAAGCTTTAGTGGACCAAGTTTGGAGGATCAGGAATACGTCAATTGGCTCTCGAGACGTAGGCGGGAATTCGCGATGAGACAAATTGATCTGCAGTTACAGTAATCCGATTGGATGAAACATATAGCAGTCTCGACTTGTATCAATGTTTACTCAAGTATGGAGCTTCTTTAGGATAATAGGAATTAAAATACTATACGAGCATAAAGTTTATCTACATTGTGACTTTACGTGAAGAATTTCCATGCCTGGACATATGCATTTCTACCATATACCAGCATCTTGGCCACCAGTAGCGTACCATATGATACTACCCTTCAATGGATAAATTACGTTGACCAACAGGCGCTGATTAGCATCCCACTGATCGTACAGCCTAGTATAGAAAGCCGAATCGAATTGCGGTGCAAATGTTGACCAAAGACTCTACTTTAAAGTTCACCTGTTGGATGTGAATGATAACCCAAATGATTCACCACCATGCTTCAAATTTTCTCATACAATTCTACAAAGTCGACTCGATTCAACAGCAAATAGTAAATTCTCAACCGACCTGCTCACGCGGAATGGGTTAACACTCTTTGGACCGACCCAGACGAAACAAGAATTAGCTTTCAGCTCATCTTAGATACCGAATAATGTATTAGTTTATTATCCAGCAAGATCCCCCTATCATTAATACCCTCCTAGCATCGTGACCTTATTTTGCAAATCTTCGAGGAGCTGAGTAATCTTAGAGACCTTTAGCAAATATATATCTTAATCGCAAACTTAGCATAGTAACAAAGATAAGCTGTATACAGAAATATGCCTGTAAGGCAATATCACACTGTGGACTGCACGAAATTTATATATTCTCCTTTTCTGTATGTGACGGGTAAAGTACGGGTTAATACGAGTATACAATTATGCGAAGAATCAAAGGGGTATTCCGTCACTCGAGCACGGCATCACAATGGTTTAGTCATTGACAAGAAACGATGTGTTATATGCATCTGCAGTACAAAAGTAAATCAGATTCCTCTGAGCCAGCAATAGCTCTCCATCAGACTCCGAGAGATATGCTATAAATATGATAAGTCTCTTCTCACTACTCCTGACCTGAACTTGCAATACCAAAACCTAATCGCCATCTAAAAGCCGCTCTCAATGAAACATCTTCTTGATTCTGACACTGTCGTTCTAAATCATAGCACTAGTACCCACGGTAAAACGAAACCGAGTGCCCTTAAGCTTACAGTGAAAACCACATTTGCGAGATTTCAGCGGCGAGGCTCAAGACGACTAGAGTGCTAACTGAACTTGAGCATCGGCCAGAGCCGCCAGTGCTCTCTCCCTCTTTGTAGCTCTCCTTTTGGCCTGCTTGCTTAGCTTTCGCGGCACCTCGATATTATCATCATCACCACCCATCTCCGTGTCTTGGTCCCTGGCCCTCTTAGCTCCACGTTTATTGTGACTGCTGGTATTGAGTTTGAGCTAGTTGGGAGATTTTGTCAGCCGGTAAGAATCTGAGAAAAATAGAAGGCGCATAAACTTACCTGGGCCATATCTTTGGTGATACTTGGGGAGTCAGGTTTCATACCGGATACGACGGATCCAGCTTTCTTCTGAGACGCAAGATGTTGGCGACTTTCGACCTCATTGTTGATAAAAGCTTCCAACTCGTATGCGAATTGATGCTCCTGTGTATGGACCAATCGCATTCTAGCCTTCAGATCGATATATTGTTGTTCCTCTTTATAAGTCATCGGGAACTTGGCGCGATTATTCTAGACGTTCTCCGTTAGTACGAGATCATGGTCTAGCTAAGCTAGACTTGAAAGCTGTTCCGCCATACTTTGAACCAGTTTATGACTTGAGAAGAAAGCTGAATCTTCGACTCCCGTCTCCCAAGCAGACCGACCCGGCTCTTGAATACTGGGCAGCTCCGAATCGCAAAGCAACCACCTGTCAAGCTTATGTTTGCAGTAAGTCCGGGATCATTTTCTTCTTCGCGAGATAAACGCAGAATTACTTCTTTGCGGGACGGAGAAGTGAAATATATAGACGTCTGGAAGCCATAGAGTTTACGAAGTTGGTTGAGTTCGCGTGCTAAAGCAGCCTTGATTTCTTCAGGTGAAGACATTGCGAATTATCTATGTCGTAGATGTTGAGACACAGAATGCTTCCTCGATGGTTGAGAAAGTTATAATAAAATGTAAGTGTGTGCAATACGGTCGCAGAATTAGTTCATGCATCCGCCTCCTCTTATCTTCAATGGATTCACAAGAGGCTGTACAAGATGCTGAGAATGATACGAGACTCAAGAAGCTAATCACCTGATAGACGTAAATCTCCAATCCATTCACTCCGCTTTGAATGAATCTATTCCCATAGTTCTCGCTCTCTCATATCGCGTGGCTTACTGGGGATACGGCATGGAAAATGTGATTTTCAAAGGCGGGGTATTTAAGCATTCAATATTTAAGAAACTGTTCTGTAGCGACCCTTGTGCAGGCAGACATCTCGTCATCCGCATCATATGAACTCCTTTCTCGATACTCATGCCGCCAGAAAGTCCGCAATCCGGGTAAGCTAGCACGTGCCATACCGTGGTAAACTACAACAGGAATAGCCTAGTTTTTAACTTCCCGAGTTGCAAACTTTCTGGCAGCATGAGTACTTATCTTCAAACTTTCAAACCCCATTGATTGCTTTAAGGCAGAGAACCTTATGCGATGAAGAGTTTTGCTGGCTCAGCCATACCGAGCATCTGAGCATGAAACACGATCAGTGACCTCTCCGCTACCATCTCATTCTTCACAAAGGATCTTCTTTAAAACGAACTTGACCACGGCGACCGCGCTGAGAATAGGAGAAAGTGTATATTCATTATTCGTCTCATGTTCATTAATATGCTATAACGCTATCAGACTGCTTTGTATGGTCCCCGTATACTCCTCGCTATTCGTCAAAAAGAAACGCTTCTAATACCCCTCTGTGGTATGTTCCACCTTTCCACCTTTCCACCCAATCTCTCACTTTTCACTCGCCAGCTGTCTAGCATCATGTACTCTCGCATCACTGGGCAATGCCACTCGTTCAAACCCCATCCCCTCCTCAATGTATCCCTCCTGAACGTAAGTATCTTCGCGTGGAGCAATAGGCATACTCGCTATACTTGATGCTGACGTTGAGCCGGATTCAGTGCTGCTCCTATCTTCAGTCGTTCGGTCTGGTGAAGTTTCGGTTGTCTCGACAGCCTTTTCATTACCCGCGTCCTGTCCATTTGGAGGTTTCTTCGCGGGCGTTGGTGCGAACTTGGATCGTTCTCGGATGGCTCCGCCGTATTTATAGAACAAGAAGGGAATTGGGGCGAGGAGGATTGCAATTCCACCAATTAGTGAGCCACCTCCCCCAACGCCGAGAGCGTCGAACATATATGTCGTGAATAATGGCGCTGCGGCGCCGGCAGCTGATCTACAAACAGTGTTTGCAGCAACAGCACTAGCGGCATACATCAAGTATGTATCGGTCAGGTAGTTGAGGTAAGCGACGAAAATTAGAAGAATAGATGTGGATAAAAATACACCTGCAATGGTGGGGACTATCCAATGCACACTGTCGTAATTTCCACTCCACGCAAACCAAAACATGGTGATAGGGAAAATGATACCGCCAGCCATCGCAACAGGTAGACGATCCTCAGCCACGCCAATATGGCCAGCCTCTAACTTCTTTCTATCATTACGGGACACTATGAAGATGGCGGTACCACCTATGACAGCTCCAATGACTGTACCAATCAAAGGTAGTTCTCCCACGCCGGAATTCCAGCCACGCTTCTCTTGAAAGATGATGGGGTAGATAGTGAACAGCATATACAGCAAGGCATATACGACAGATAAGTAAACCGCAACGGCGAACGATATCGGATCAATGAGGAGTTTCCATGGTCTGACGAGTGCGATCTTGAAAATTTGCCATAGGGTACGATCGCTATCTTCGATGGGCGCCTTGACGTTTTCGTAACCTGGGATCTTCAACGCTCTTATCCTCCTGGCTTTAATTACTAGCAACTTTGAAGGTAAAGTCTCTGGGATGGTGAACATCAAAATTTCGGTAAAACCAGCGAGCCATAATAAGACATAAAAATTCCACCGCCAGTCCTCCTTCAATTCTAGAAATCCTGAAATGACAGGACCCAATGCCGGACCTGCAAAAGTCATCATCGAGAACAACGCCAAAGCATTTCCTCTCTCCACGGGACCCCAAATATCGGCGAGAACTCCTGGGGCATTCGAAAGTGATGAACTGGCCATTGTACCCGTTATGAATCGACCTATACAGAGAGCGGCGAAATTATTGGCGAAGGCGCACAGAAAGTTAAAGACCAGGTACAAGGTAAACGAGATATAAAAGATCCATTTTCGACCAAAGAACTCGGACAATGGAGCCCAGAATAATGGTCCAAAGCAGTATCCTAAAAGGAAAAGCGAAATGACCAACGCTGACACTTCTGCAGAAACGTCGAATTCTGCCTCAATTCCTGGCAGACATCCCGATGGACTGGACGATGCAAATGCCGCATTAACCACGAGCAAAACCGATACCACAGTAATATACCATCGTCTGGCCGTCGACCAATTCTTTGGATTCTCGATATCGCCTGGCCCAAAGTCCAGATGCCCGTTTTCATTTATGTACGGTTTTTCATCGACGATATGTTTCGTGCGGTATGGCTTCGCATTTGGCCGTGACAATATGCGCTTTATTTGGTCCATCTATATCATTTGTGTTGATATTGAATACCGGTACTACTGTAATCGCAAAGAAATTGTGAAGATGGCGAAGCATTGAAGAGAAAGAGAAAATTAAACATGGGCGGGGAATCTACGTGGTTATAACATGGACATTTTTTCAAAATTTATGGATAATCGGCATCTCAAACTTAAAAAAGTACACGCGGATTTAATGGAGATGTTTTTCTATTATCCTAGTAATAATCCATATCGTCATCCATTTGAGTTCGGCTTTATCGTTTAATCAACCAATGGGTGAAAGTTGTGGCGCATATTTCTCCAAGTTAGTTGTCAAATAGCAACCAAACATCGATTAGGGAAGGATCTTTACTTCCGAAAAGATTGATATGACAGAATTAAGGTCTTATTTTTTGTAGTGAAGGGGCTAATCTTCTTGGTTAAGGTTAGGCTAAATCCTCTAGACTACCTACTCGGGTAAGCTAGCACATCATGCCACATGGTGGTAAACTACGTACAGCAGGAATAGCCTAGTTTTTGACTTTCCGAGTTGCGGACTTTCTGGCGGCATAGCCTTCTCCGGTTTTGCTCGACTCAGCTGCTGCGAGGGGTTGGTTGTCTTCGAAACCCCAAAAGCACTTGGGATTGGTACAGTAGGTACAGTACACAGCAGAGCTGGAGCAATACGATCCACCATCCAAGGTCAAAGCTTCCCATATACTTCACCGAGTCACCGGCCCCCTTTCAGGATACATAAGCGAAAAGCAGGTATTAATAGCATACGGATAACGGATTGTCTGATTCCCGGTTAATGCATCTTCTTTCTAGTGTTTACTCATAACATAACTCGGATTTATTACTTCTTCTCAATATTGTTATTTCCGGTCACTTGTTTCTTTATCCGCCAACATATTTCCTAGAGTTCTGTTATACTGGTGAACTGTAAAGGGTGAACAAATACTGTTGAGGAGCGGTCCGAACAGTTTAATAATAATCAGATTTTTTGGTTATATCTGCAACTCGGGAAGTTAAAAAGTTACCTAGGTTAGGTTAACCCCTTGTAGTCCCTTGTAGTTTACCATTATATGATACGTGCCGGCTTACCCGAGTTGCGGGCCAGCGGCATGAGTACCCTGAAAGCTTGTCTCCAGGATCTTCAGTTTGTTATGACCCCCATATCCACTTTTGAGTCCTCCATTTCACTTTGTTCCATTAATAGATGCACTAATGGTAACTATTTCTGGAGAGTAGACTAATTGGACGTTCTCATCGTATCATTTCCGAGAGAGTATTAATAACCCCCCCCCCTCTAAACGTCTGATGATCTTCTCGACTCAGTGATTCTCATATTGAATAGAAAGGCCATAAATGATTACGTACCCAGGCCCATCTAGAGTAGGTTCAAACTTAGGATCTTTTAACTGATACAACGACCTGCGACATCCTATTTGAATTGACTGATTTCGTTTTGACCAGGATAGACACCTAATCCTCACGTATGTCAGCATCTTTCGTTACTGCTTAGCAATCAAATACGTCAACAATCCCCTCTCGACTCGGATCATGGGCAGCCAAGTCTAGATCCAGTGATCAATAATGTATCCCCATCTTCCGTGCACGGGGTGATAAACACCTGTAGCGATGGAACCAAAAGTATCGTGCGGTGTGACCGCAAATATACGTACATGCTAGTGAAGATGTAGTTCCGGAGAAGACACCAACCAACATAAGCAAATATTTGGACAGTATTGCTCGGCTAGAGCAAATGTAAAGCTTGAGACGATTGTGCTCGGAGGATTTTACTCTGATCTCTGATTTGGCAACGAAGAATCTGAGGTTGATAGGATGAATATGCTGAGCCAACAATTCTTAAGATGAGTATCTTTGGATTGATAAGCTTCGATGAGATAACAGCGATGAATGGCTCGAGAGAAGAGATGGGCAACTGGTAAGTTCGGCTGGAGGAAGGAGAATAGTAGATATAGATATGGGTACATAATGTTGTGAGTAGAGGCTCGGACAACAGCGAATATCTGTGTCTATGATATTGGACAGTGATGTTCAATACGAGGTTTCAGCTGTTCAGTCTGAGAGAATTCTAGAAAGATGGCAATTGCATCTAAGATGTCGCGAGTCAGAAACTAGGAATCACAAAAAAGGATAAAAGAGTTTAGACTTAATCTAAGCAAGTGCTTTTCTTCATACTATGATTACCAGAGTCTGGTCGTCGAAAACTCCATGTCACATGCTTGACACTATTGAGCTGAGGGCAGCCAATTGACATCCCAAATCATTCATCATTTTTCTTCGGGAAGTTTCCTGAAAGATAAGTCTTCTAGGAGAAATAAACCAGATTAACCTTGCCAGTGTGAGGTCAGGCCTGGTACGATAAAGTTCAGCATGAAGTCTCTCATATACGAACTCCCGAATCTGCATGCTCCCAAGCAGAGCTTCACTAACGAAAAAGTGGCTAGCCAATACACCAACCGGTAGGTTGACGGTTGACCACGATAAATAGAAAAGATCAGTTCCACAACCAACCAACCATTCCATTCACCACTCAACTGAGAAAACCGAACAGCATAATATCACAAACTCAAGGCAGATACTCGAAAGATATTTTACTTGGAGCACTACTACAAAAATGCGCCGAGGGGATTTGCCGAAGAAATAACTCAAAACACAAGCCTGGGTACCGGAAACACAAAAGATCAATCCTACAACAAATTGTCCAGTTCCTCCCTCTACTTCATGGTTATGAAAGTCAAAGCATCAAGAATTCTTATTAGAAACCTGCGAAGCTTCTTACCGAGCAAGCTTGAAGACATCGTATCAAGGATGAATCCCACGAACCATAAACCACGAATCTCGTGCAATTGTTTGCTTCCCCAGGCCATCTAAACACACGATAACAAATACACACGTAAAAGTAAACGAAGGAAACACAATCACTACACATGGTAGAACAGGTAAACAAGAAGATCCCTTCAAGCCTCAATCTACCTACCTCTAGTCGAACCACACTCCTCATCCATAATCCATTCTCACAAACTACCACACAGATCAAATATTCAATAACTTCAACATCAGGCGTGAAAAGTAACGATATTCTTTTATGAAATCTCGCGCAATAAGTGATCAATACAATAAAATACAATACAATACAATACAACATCAACCATCGAATCGAATCAAGAACAAAAGAGATAAACAAGATAGATCCATACTTAGATATCATATCCAAAGCACTTTCCTCCCACAGCAATACTATAAACTTCACAAAAAAAACAGAACAAGAACATACCTAATTCAGAAAAGAGCTTAGGTACTTACATATACTACTACTACTCTGAGTATACTCGTACATATCGAGTCTCGTAGATCAATCATTATCATTACTTATTTCCTAACGCTCCACAAGCATGCCATCTGAGTCCTGCAAATTTTATAAATTCTTTGGAAAGATACTCGAGCTTTCTTTACTCTATCTGGATAGGTAGGTTAGATATATTGTTGGAATATGTACCATATATATCCCATTTCCACCCCGCATAACACATCCTATCTATCCCATCTCATCCCATTCATTTCGTGTCATCCATGTTATCTTTTTCATCCACTGCATGGCGTGGCATGGCATTACATTGCATCTCCATCACCATCCCCTCCCACCCCCTCCCCACCTCCCCCTTCAACATTTATGTGCTCAATCTCTCATCCCTCATCTCTCATCTCTCTTATATCTTCCCCGCCCCTCACCTCCCCTCTCTTCTCCAGCCTCCAGCCCCATTAGGAACCTCCCAAGACAACCAAAACAACCAAAGAAACACCCAACATCAATCTACCCACCCTAACCAACTTAATAATTACACCTCTCAACCTCTAATCACATACCGTATAATATAACATAATACAAAATACAACCACCCATTCATCACCGAACATCCTTATCTTTTCCCGCCTGTCTATCCTATCCTATCCTATCCTGTGGTTACTCGTTCATTCATCCATCATCCACCATCCCATGAAGCAAACTCATCACGTGGAATACATCATTCCGCCCCTCCGCCCCGCCCCCCGAGAAATTATCTAAAATACCATCGCATCCCATCTTATCCCATCTTATCCCATCTTATCCCATCTCATCCCATCTCATCCTATCACCTACCTACCTACCTATCAAGCAAAAGAAGCAGAAGCAGAAGCAAAAGCAAAAATGCTCTCATTTATTCCCACATTCATTCCCACATTCATTCCCACATCCGAAGCACATCCAAAACACATCAACCCCATATATGATACTATGAGGCCATTTCCCCAATCCCCATCACCCGCCGTCCGTCCGTCCATTTATTCATTCATTCATATTCAATCAATCAATCATTTAATCAATCAGTCCAAACAAAACAAAACAAAACAAAACAACCAAACCAAACCAAACCAAACCAAACCAAGACATAACAAGGCGGCTTCAAGCGCCTCTACCGGGATCTTCTAACATCTAATATATAAGCGCGGTTGTAACGCCAGGGCTGTAAATCCATTCCCAATTCTGCCGACGATTCTGCCCTGCCCCCTTGCCCTGCACCCATCACACCGTTTCATTTGCGCAAGGATGGTAGCAATTCATTTCTCTACTCCACATATTATTCTTTTATGTGCGACACATAGGTAGCCTATATATATTTACAGAGTAACAAAATGTATCGGATTTTCCCGATCCGGTGCATGTATCCGACCCTCCATCCCAATTCTATGCATGCATGCGCGGTTGCCAACCCAAAATCCTTCTTCAACCGAACCAGGAACATTGCAAAGGAGAATCATCCGAAAAGCAAAAAAAAAGAAAAAGGAAAAAAAAATGCTATGCTCATGTTGATAATTGTACTTGTAGAAATGAATAAAACAATCAACCCATTCAAAGGGAGTGAAAATAAAATAAAACAAAATAATGCATGGGGTATATCGTTAAAGGACTGCAGGCGAATCCCAAAGTAGAGTACGTGCCGACCTTCTGCTTCTAACCGCGTATCCACCAGCTGAGAAGTCCATCCAATTCTTCTGGACTTTCAATTCTACATCAGGGAATTGTACTTTTTCATGTTGAGCAAAAGTGTGTGTGTGTTTTGATTGTTCTGTGCTTTCGTTCGGCCTCTCTCATTGCTGGCTCTCGCTACCATCATCTCGGATCATTGGTGATGAGACAACCGTGGCCAATCAATTGCTTTTTCCCATCCTTCAAATTTCAGAATGTAACCTTCATAAGTTGTGCAACGGCCAACACATCTTTTTCCTCTTTTCCACCAAGCAAGCGACACGTCAGAAAACAACTGCTAATTTGGTTAAAATTACCAAATTCTGTAGTATGCAGTGGAAGAATTGTCGGGTTCATGTCGTGCTGCGCCTTCTCATTTCACCAAGGTTTCGTGTAACTCATTTCCTCTACGCTTTAGGCAAGCTTGACCCGAAATCTTGGGAGCAACAGCATGTTGTGTTTGTACTCGGGCCAATCCTTGATGATGCCCGCCACACATCGTATGCGCTTCGGTCCGCCTCTTCTCTTATCCATCCTATGAGGATTGAGGTATAAATCGCTACTTACAATTCGCCCTTTCATATGAACCCTCCCTCTCGGATCTACCTAGCATTTCCGGTCATTCGGCCGCCGGTCCTTGCTTATTCATGCAGGCGCTTAGAGGTGCATGATATTATATGCGCGCGCATCCAACAATAATGCGCATAAACTCCCATCCATAAAATTCGTTCGTCATCCATCCTGGTCTCAAAAGAGCGTCAGGTTGAAAAGGCGAGGTTCCGTAATGAGACGCTGGCGTGAAACCCTTGTTGAACTTTTGTCGCGATATCCGAAGAGAAATCAAACTTCGCTGATCTAGAACATGTTGACCAATCTCTCTTCATTCCTAATCCCCAGCCCATGCATCTTCAAGCATGTTATAAAGGGATAGTCTCATCCGCTTTTTCAGGCCGCCGTGCAGTCCATATATGCCTGGATTTTCAGTAATTTAGTGAAGTTCAATAAATTGATAGAAATAAGTTTTGATGATTGAGAATTGAGGATTGAGAACTGAGGTAGGGTAGTGTAGTGTAGTGTAGTGTAGTGTAGTGTAGTCGAGAATTGCAATTTGGGGATTGGGGATACTCACATATTGTTGTAGGCACGAATTTTCCTAGAGCAGATTTCTCTCCTCACTTCTGTAGTCAGCCTTGTGACATCATCCGGCGTCCAACCATATATTCTGTACATGGGTGCAAGCGTCATTGCTTCCAGTCCCTGGGTGAGGGCCAAATTGTACCATCTCGCAACGTCCTTTTCTCGAAGATCGTCAGGCCATGGGTTGAGGGGAATCTTTATCACTTCCTCCTCAATATCGACGAACCCTTCCCTTGTAAGCATCTCTCGAGTTTCCGTATTGTAAGCTAGAGGCCGATAATTACGATGGGTGGCGTCAAAAAGTTTCCCAATCCATGTAACCAGTGTCGAGTCAGCTGGGATCTCCCCAAAATCAGTGCGAGGGGTGAAATCCATTTCCACATGCTCAAGACGGCCATAAACAGGTTTGAGATGCCTTGATAAATCGTGTTAGCCAAAGTCATATGTTGTAAGGGGAGAATGGAGAGGCCTCACCTAAAGGCCTTTTGGTATATATCTTTCCAGCTAACTATGCCCCCGGACAGCATCCGTATATGAATCATATCCCATGACTCTATTTCGAGTCCGTACCAAGGCGACTCTATATCTCTTTGCCAAAATGTTAGATTGCTAGGGATACTATATCAATTGAGACTTAGTACGTGAAATTGCTCGAAGGAGGATATTGCGAGAACCCTTACAATAGAGGCTGTATTTTAGCTAGGTCAAGCCCAAGAACTTCACCCTGCCCATTTGGAGTACCATATTTTCTATATGTAACAGATGTCAGTTCCGTTGTTTTGCAGATCAAAACCTCAGACGAGGCAGAATGTTATTCTTACTCGGCCATATCAATTGCCCATATTCCGGTACCTGTCCCTAAATCCAAAATTCGTGGCCCATCAAAATTGTTTGTAAATTTGGTATTCTTAGAGTGTAATACACCCCCCATTGCGACTTGAAAGAATTTGTGGAATATATCATAGCGGTCCATTTCTTGCTAAGGTGGCCCAATATCAGCATATACTCCTGTGCAAAATCCCAACGGGCAAAGCCTAGCGCATTTACCTCGTCGCAAGGAAACATATATTTCCCTTTATGAAATCCGTGATATAAGCGATAATGCTCATAATAATCTTTCGGAAGCTCTTGGGGGCCCGCAGAAGGGGCAGGGGAAGACGTTCTATGTAATCCAATTCAGTTAGCGCATGTATGAAACTTTTGACATGTAGGTAATGGCAGGAGAGGATGCAGTCCGCGTTCCTGTTCGGTGAATGCCAAAGTGGTTGTCATGTAGGGAAGCTTTCCGCTGATACTCAAGGGAGCGGTTCTGGGAGTAGAGGGGAATGGAGAGCACGTACCCATTGTTATTAGACATGGCCATAGCAACAACCATAGAGGCAAATCTGCCTCGAGATCTATCGTCGCGAACAGGTTTTGCTTGTTCTGCTAGCTTCGTAGCATGGATAGAGTTTGCGTTTGCGACACTACAATTGTTAATGTCAATTTCTTTTGGCAGCATATGCCAATCGATTGGAATGGTCGAGGGAAATGGGTCGAGGGGATTTCGAGTGGTTTATATGGCCATGCAGCCGCTATATAATATCGGCTGTATTCCGTTCCTTGTTCTGGACTTCCTTGTCGGCTGGCTGATTCCGGAATTCAACCTGAGTAATCCGATATATGACTGTGTCTCATGGAAGCACAAGAATGGTTCTCGAATGATGCTGATCTAAGAGTTCTAAAGAGCCGCGAGAAATGGGTGGTGTGCTTGGTAGTTTTAAAACTATGACTTGTTCCTTAATACTCGTTGCCTGGCGGCGGTAAAGCTACTTTGACTTTTTTTATGGCCCCTGTCGTACTGCGCTGTAGCTGTTTGTAGTGTATTTTTTGGTAGGGGCGTACAGGTATGGGTAATGCCAGTGGATAATGCAAATGATATAACTCGGTTCTGGGGGGTTGAACTGAACTCGCAGATTTTATAGCGTCCAAGGGTAGGATTAAGTGTCAGAAGGCTTGTTCAAGACTCAATAGTGGTGGTAATGGTGGTAATGGTGTTGAATGTCAATAGGCTGTAAGTTGTCGGTTGGCTTAACACTTAGCAGACTCACCTCAGAGCTCACAACAAGAGCGAGAGAGAGCACTTGAGAGAGATATAGAGAGTGTGAAAGAGAGTGTGAAAGAGAGTGTGAGAGAGAGTGAGAAGTGTGAATCTAGAAAGCAACTGCAACCGCCTTGAAGCCTGCAAGCATGGGCCTGGGCTTGGGCTTGAAGAAATGATCGACCAACGTTCCAATTATTCGAAATCCAAATGATATTAATAAACCATAATTTTGAATGATTCCAAGCTCCGGAAGAAGTTTCGAAAAGTTCGGTTTTGATAGAAATACTGGGTCGGTCGGTCGTATTGGTTGTATGTATAGATATGGATCTGCTTTCTGTTGGTCGCGGCACTTTTGGTATTCCTTCCCCCACTTCTGCTAGGTGGGAACCGTGGGATCTCGAAATGGGTTTCTTTGGGTGGTATCCCAAGAATCCTCAAGTGAAAACCTTTTGTACGATAGTAATAGTATAGTATAGTATTGTGAACTGTGCAGTGTGCAGCAATTACAAGGTTACTATACGTACTGCACTTATTTCCGTACGATCGTTGTGTGACACCGCCAACGATGTACTGTCCTGTACTGTCCGTCCCACACCGATTGCCAATTGAGGACGAAGAAGAAGGTAATCTTAACTTTCTTGATATGGCTTTTTGGGGGAAGAAGAAGAAGAAGAAGAAGAAGGGGAAAGAAATATAATAAGTGTGGTAGGTGATGATGAGTGGTGATGGTAGTGGTAGTGGTGATAGTATGGCAGTACTAGTAGGTACTGTAGTGAGTGCTAGACGTTTGGAAATCTAGCCATACCAATTCGTGGGGGATAGGATGAAGAAGGAAGGGGAATAAAGATTGAAGCTGCAGTCAGTGAACAACGTGGTCTCATTGTAATGCATATTTCCAGCTACACTCTTGCAGTACTTATAGGGAGGTTGAATACACCATCAGTGGGGTTGGTAAAGTCCAAAAAAAGTAAAACTGGTTACTTGATTGGGTGTTATATTGGAAGCAGGCACATTGTTGGTGTTGTTATGTCTTTGTACCGGTACTGTGTACAACGCTTCACTCACCACCATGCAGTAAGCTCTTAGCTATTACTGTAGCCACTTGCTGTACGGTACAGTACGACGGATACCGCATCATTGAGAAAATAAAGAAGATTCCGTTTGCCAAACAGAATCTTAACGCCACACGGTTGCATTTGCACGAGAGGCACAGAGAAGAATAGGTAGGCTGGCAATTGCCTACCATACTGTTACTGTTACTGTATAGGCTGACAAGGTACGATACAAACTCTACGAATGTAATGGTGTACTGAATGGGGGAGTGGAAGTGGGCTATTGTATGCAGGATGTATCTCGAGTTCACCAACAGAAATATAATTGACATTTGACTTAGACCCAATTGCATAGAACAGCTGGATGCTAGCTGGTCGTCGTTACAGACCTAGGCCCAGGGGATTGATTATACGTGGTACCGGTAGTAGTGACTTGTCCAACATTTTTTTATCTCAAGTTCAATCCCCAATCAGACCTCTTGAATGTATTCTCCAATCATTCCCCCCTGTACTCAAACCCCTACAAGACTTTACAGCTATTTTGTTCCATACCCCTACTCCTTGTCCCATGCTGGTGTCGGAACATTGTACCACAAGGATCCAAGTGGGCGGAGCCGGGATGAAGTTAGCGGCACAACTTACCGTTCAAGTCTTACTCTTTCTTTTCTCCCTACCTGGTCATGTCTTGCTGTCGCTTGTGGTCTCTTTTGATGTTTCATGAAAAGAGACCAACTATTTTCATACTCGGGTATCCTCTATCAAAGAATATTGGAAGTACTGTACCATTAACTGTATTGGTAATCTGCTACATGCCAATGCCTAATACTTAGTACCTCCCATCAATGCTGCACTTCGATCGCTTACTCCGTATGAGATTGTGAGTACACCTAAAAACTTCTTATCCTATGGAGCTAGATAGAATTGGAGTGTATCTTGCGAGCGAGATGAACTCAACAGATGGAATAGTTCAGAAGTGGAGAGAGGGGTGATGAACTCCGAGTAAATGCATACCGGTCGGTATGCATAGACAATGTGTCACCCTTATCGAATAATTAAGGAGATGGATGGTACTCGAGTAGGTTATGCGGATAGTTAAATAATACTAATACTGAATAGAGAAAATGATATCATACATTGATGACATGCTGTTTCAAAAGTTTCAAACAACTAATTCATTTATTTGTCTGAATTTCAAAATACTGTTGTGATATATGATAAGTTACAAAGACTGAAGAACTCAAATTACTCTTTCTCATTTGAGGTATGTAATACTGAATACACCAGATCCTTCATTCCCGAAAGACCAGTTCAATTCGATATCATTTCCGTCTTGGAACGTAAGACGGATTTGATTGGATATTGGTGAACTCTCTAGAATGTTTCGCAATGATCCCATCGCTCTGGTTCATTGATTTAGTGGATCGAGAATAATACAAGAGTGTGGGAGGACAGGGCTCGACATCCCGTTTCTTTGTCTAATCTCTTTTCGTGATGAACCTTATCCGGTATTACTCGAGTGATACCCGTACAAGTATATACATTTTTTAGGGTTTGGATAACCTGACGACGACCTTACACGTCACAACATCTACTGGCAACGCACAAGTAGATAGATGCCGGTACTTTATCACAATGATCTATATCCTATATAGATATATTATCCATAGTGTACATACTCCCTGAGATTCTCACCTAAGATATCTATCGACTTTCCCAATGGTGCCTGGTAGATATGTTTTCCAAGATACAATCATCCCACTCTTCCTTTAAGTTTACCTCGAGACTAATCGCAAAGTTTTAATGACTTTGTATACCTACTACCTCCTACCTCCTTCCATTTTTAGACAATGATAGTACCTACCTAGGTATTGTTGTCAAGTCTGAGCTCTCAATCATTGTATCAAGACTAAAATCCATAGATCCATGCTTTATACTTTACCTGGGTATATCTCTTTTCAACCTTCACATTTACCCTTTTCGGTTTCGTACTTATCGCACTACATACACACGTGCCCGACCTGAATCGAGCAAAAGGCGGTTATGGAAATAGATGCAAGTGATCGTCGGGATCCTCGAAGTGAAATTCAATACATCATGATTCTGCCATCATTCATGGCTCATGCATCTCCTTACGCCTTGTTGTGCTCATATAACGGTACATATACATTGCATCAATTGATATTTACAATTAAGTTCATGTTCACAATCTGCACCTCTGCATCACATACTCCTGCGTACCAACATACGTACCAACATATCATATGTCATCGTTTACGGGAGAATATATCTCTAGACTCTACGAGAGAGTCTTACAGTGTACAGGAATTCAGGACAGAACAGGCTTCATTCTCCTTACCGCCATTTCACAAAATATATCATTCAGATTCCGGCTGTATGGTTAACCCCTGCGAACGTTCCATCCTGGAAAAGGATCCCGGATGAAATTTACGAGAGCTTGTCGGTGTAAGCCTCATTCAAAGCTGAAATGTTGTGAAGATAACAAGGAATGCGATGCCTTCAAATGCATGTAATGCGCGTAATGCGTGTAATGCAGTGAGAAATCGTGGAGAAGAAATATTTGTTATCAAATATCCCAAAATCTAAAATAGATTAGCCACCCAAATAAACAAAATTGTAAGATTTTGGTACAGTATTATATCACACCGCTCAACTACCTACTAGTCTATCACAACAAAACAACGCACACTGTTCCGATCTTATACTCGGGTCTGCTATTCCTCATAGCGTATCGCGTTGTATCATGGTGAAGCGCGAATCGTTTGGGAATTCTTGTTATGATCACCCTTGCTCCTCTCGGTCGTAACATATGGTAAAGAATAGGATATGTATTGATAGTACTGTACAATATTTGTATTGTTATATACTCGAGTACATACAAGGTGGTATACTACTCGAGTATATACACCTGAACTACTAAATTTCGACTGAATCACCAAACTTTTATATCGCCTCCTACCAAACCACCTCCTCCCACTGTCCTCCTCCCACTCTCCTTATCAACAATAATAGAAATCGGTGGAATGATGAATCCTCAAAAAGAATCTATGTCCGAATACTCCACTTTTCAAACGACCCGACAGTTTGGGTATCAGCAAAGGTGGAGAATCCTGCGGTACAGGGGTACTGTGTCGAAAAAGTCACATGGGCATCTATTCCCACCTTTTAAAAGCAAGGCGCTACATTGGACTAGATTCATATATTCATGGGAATTAGACGGCCCCAGGGCTTAACAGAACTAATATCGGCTAGGAATCAAAGACTGGACGATATGGATCTTTTCCAAGCTCTTCGTTCTGCGGTGACTCCGGTGAGAGCCTATTATCCTTTTGTCAATCTAATTGAACC